AGTATAAGAAGGTTTGAAGGTCTGTTGGAGAAGGGAAGAGTATTCACATGCTGCAAAACGTCCGTAGTGTTCAGGCAGCTGGAGGAAAGGTCCTCACCTTTCCTTCACCCCTCATCCATATAAGTAAATTGTGCACCACAACAATCCTCTCTAGCTCAGCTTAGAGATGGAAGTGCAACATTTACCTTCTCATTTCTGAAACCTAGGTCCTCTCTGTCAGCCATGAAGTACAGTAACAACAGGTCCTACAACTTAGGCCAGATGCCCTTCTGGCATAGTTGCACTCAAAGTTCCATTAAACTGCCCAAAAGCTGATGCTCTCAAAGCACTTTCTCCTTCCCAAGAGATGCACAGAGTCCACGGCCAGAGGCTGCCTGCCTGGCACCCTACCTGGAGGCACAAGAAGAAGTGCTGGCACTGAGCCTGCCTTCCAGCCGCGTGACTGAGGTTACTGGAGAAACATCCCGGAGGGAGGGAGGGAGCTGCAGGAGGAAGTGAGGCTGTAAAAAAATTAAAACAGAGTTCAGCTGCCTGTGAGAGGAGAAAGAGACAGGTCAGCTGGAAAGGACAGCTTTGCTGAGCTCTGGAGAAAATGGTTTGAGTAATTCTCAATGGTAAGGCAACCTCTCATTTGAGGGAAGAGAACTTAGAATACTCTGTGTACATTATGGCCTTGGCTCACAGCAGGAGGAAGGCTGGTGCCCAAGTGATTTGAAATGCAGCCAGAGTTGCTAGACTTAGTAACTCTCTTATACCCCATTAGATTCAGTCACCTCCATTTCTTCCGTTACTTTTGGCCATAATCTTCTATGCATCCAGTACAACCTCTAGCAAGGCTGAGGATCCCCGTTTCCCATCTTCTGAAGAGGTCCAAATCCAGGCTCTCCAAGAAATATTTTTTCAGCATAGCCAACATTTTCGGTCAGTGCAGAGAGCAGACAGTTTCCTTGCTTTTCTCGACAGTCTGCCAGTATGTGGCAAGGAAGATTGGGAACCTGTGCAACTGGGGACACGAGGAGCCACCAACGCACCCAACAGAGGCAGCCCAGCACAGCCAGAACCAGAGCAAGTCTGCATCTTGCTGGAGACACTGTGAGGGCTGCAGGGTGGGGGGACCAACATGCCGGGGCTCCTGCAAATACACCAGGGACTTAGGGGCTCAGGCCAGCCTCGGACTCCAGAAATCAGGGTGCACCTTGTATTGCTGCTAATCTGTCCTCTGGTCTCGGGCAAGCAGCTTCCTCCGTGCCCTCAGAGGAGGCGCGCCAAGTCCTAGGTCCCAGTTCCTCCCTGCCTGCGACCCAGCGAGCATAGTCTTCCTCAGAGCTGGGTGCTTTGCCTGAGGAAGCACTGCAGCTGTTAGAAGTCACAGTTTCCTTTCTTTCTTACTTTATTTTCCCTTGCTATTTTTTACCTTTAAATATCACAGCTGTATCCTAACCCCTGACAGAGATGATGAGCAAAGAGCAGCCTTTGGAACAGAGGCCAAAGTTACTCTGTAGGAAACCACAGGGTGACTGCATGTATGCTGCTGAAGCACCATTTCCACAGATGTACATCTCCCTTGGGGGAATCTTTGTTATTGCATGTCATCAGGTACCCTGCTAGATACCGAAACGTATCATCACGCTCCACAGCTGGCAGTCATAGATTTCTGTGCCTGTTGCCAAACTTCCCAGCCCTTTCCCTGCCGCATCAGTTGGAGATGGCCTATTTACAACACACAAATCACTATGACTTTGCAGATTGCTCACGCAACACCCCAGAGAGCAACCACTCCTCCTGGCTGCCTGCGATTCAACAGGGCCAGTACACCAAGGAGCTCCCTGGCGAGCCCTCCCTTCCCCGCCAGGACACCGCGCTGGCATGCAGTGGGCAGGCGCTGCTTCCTGCGCCGGAGGGCTTCCTGCTCCCCGGGCTCCCGGCCGTGCTGCTCGAGAGTCAAAGCTCACTTTCAAAATGAAATAGCGCTTGAACAGCAGACGGAGGAATCTCAGCATGGGAAAATTCTCCTCTGCCGATACCAGTTTCACTGGTTCAGCTGAGTCACTCCCAATTGCTCTTGTGCAAACAAGCCTAGCAGTGCACCGGGTGCTCACACAGCCCTGGGGGAACTGCTGGGGCAGCTGAGTTGCGCTTGCTGACTCCTACCTCTCGGGATGCCGCAATAAGCTCAGGGATGTTGCAGAGGTCTCGTGGAGAAGATGCAGGGCTGAGGCTGAGTGGTTTCCACTGTGCTGCTCCCAGCTGCTGGGTGCAAGGGGAGGGAAAGGGAGTTACACAGCTGGGAGGTTTCTTATGAAACCTTTCACCTTCCCCTTCAGAAAACAACAGCTGAATCTGTAATGGGGGAGAAGGGTTTGGGGGGGAAAGGGATGGCTCTCCTCACTAATGCTTTAATTAAGGGCATATGAAGAAAAAACAGAGCTTTAACAATCTGGCCTACAATGGGAGCCAGGAGCTAGCTCTCTGGAGGCCCAGTATTGGAAGATCAAGACAGGCACTTGGATGTATTAGCAGGAGGAATTAAACTTCTCCTTCGAAAAAAAGTTAAGCACTTTCTCTGCTGTTAATTGCTGGGCCTTTATTGCAATCAGGGGAGCTACCCCAATTAACACTGAGGGTCTGGCTCAATGTATTTCAAGCAGGGTCAGTAACACCAGACCCGCAGCTGGTGCGAGCAAGTGAGGCTACGTTCCTTGCTGGGAGACCCCTGGGTACCCCAGGACCCCCAGGTTATAGGCTGGAGATTTGTTAGATCAGGGCTTGGCTCTCAGCTCTCAATTGCTGAGGCAAGGTGCAGACTATTAGCTCTCGCTAGAACAGCAATACCATTTAGAGAGGTGATTTTCTTTTACGATGCTTCCATACTGGCCAAAGCTCTGGTGTAGATGGCGTTATAATGTGACTTTAAGTACTTTCTCCGGTGTACTCTGTTTCGCCAGTCGCACCAGTACAAACTGTACTGGTGGTCTCTACCCTCTCTTTAGCACGGCCCAGTCCTTAGTGGTGAGCTCAGTTGGCACAGGGGAAGCTCGAGGAACCAGCAGGGATGGAGGGGAAGTGAATGCCTAAGCAGTGTAGCACGCCTTTGAGTGCAGAGCTTGGTGGGAACCAGGGGGGATCTGGCAGCACTAGTGGCATTTGGATCACAGCTTGGGAATTGCAGAGCTTGCAGCTAGGGGGGCTTTACTGGAGAACTATCTGTATTGTAAATCTGGCCTGAATCCCTCATATTTACCTATAATTGCTTATAGTTCCTATTAGGAGGTTTTCCTAGTGCCTTGCCAGTTCACATCTTAGCTTTGTCCCTTCAGCAGTAATCTTCTGCCTCAGCTGATCCTGAATCGTCCTCTTTTCTCTGACCCTTATGCATTTGCAGATGTAAATACAGTGGTCTCAGAAGGCCTCCAAGCAAGACACTCTGTTCCCGGGAACAACGACTCCATCCAAGACCAGCCCTGCAGGTCCTGAGGGTAAAAGCCCTCCAAGGTTCCACGGAGGCAGAATCAGCTCCTGAGCCGGAGCAAGGAGCCTTGGAGTTTCGCTCTGGGGAAACCCCATGACAACATGCCCACTGCCCCTACCCTCTCCCCCGTGCCCCAGGACACCGGTGAAGCTCTCCTTACATCAGTCAGAGTGATGGTGTGACGCGCAGCAGCCACGGGGCAGCAGGCTACAGGGACCGCGACCATCTCCCTGCTCCTCCAGCAACCCCCCTGCCCCATCACAGAGAGCAATGACGGCAGAATCACAAACTCCGCACACGCGGGGAGGAATCTGTCCGAAATCATCCTGTGACAGCCTAAATTGAACCAGAAATAAAGATGAAAATCTGCATGAAAAAAGGCTTGTAGGGAATGCAATGGCTTTTCCCCTGAAAGAGTCTTAACTGTCATTACGGTGTTTGAACAGCCCGATGGCTTTTGATTTCACGTTTGTACCTTGGCAGCACTGGGCTCCCTGCTGCTGTGGCTTTGTCTGCTCCTTACGCAGGGAGACACAGTCCTCGTCTCCCAAGCGCTTGTGATAGCAACACCGGGAGAGAGAATCATGCGAGGCCGGAAGGAGGACAGGGTGTTATCCCACATCGCTGGGAAGGAGCTAGCACCTTCCAGGTGCTCAGCTGCTTACTGCCACCACGAGCAATGATTTGGCCTTTGGTGCCACAAGCTTTTCTGCTACAATATTGCAGGAGGAGGACACGCTTGGTGACAGGATGGGTTGTGCCACTGCAATGCACAATCGAGGGATGTGCACACTGTAGTGACCTCAATTTTAAAACTCCCACAGGCTCTGTGAGAGGGCAGGATTCCCTTGTGGGGCTTTATTCAGGCGGGAGAGGCACAAGCGCACGGGAGCCCTTATTCATTTGTGGGTACCATCTTAGCCCACAACCCCTTGTAGGCTTATAGCACTTCATTGCACATCCTCACATGTACACCCAGCAAATGCTGAGGTCTCTTGCTCCCTGCTGGCTCTTCTTCCATACTAGACACAAACACAGTGTGGGGAAATAAGAAAAAAAAAATCAGCTTGTCCCAAAATAGAGCAAAAAGCGAAGTCTAAAAAGAGCCTTGCTCCAGGCCTCCCCACACAGTGCACAGAGCCTTCTTTAAGCCCTAATCCTGTGGCTAGTTAAGATGTTTAACACCATTTTCAGACAGGAGAGTTGACATACATGGTAAGTGCTGAGCACCTTCCCAAACTGGTTCGCAAATGGAAAATTCAGTAAGTCAACTGCTGAGACATCGTCTACATCTGTTGCAGGACAAAGCTCATTGTCACAAATGAAGATACAAATATAATTCAGAGTAAACATTGCATTTATAACACTGCTAAGCAAAGATTTTCCCCGTCTTCCTTGTACCAGAAAACCAAGTACTTCATTTCGAAGGCGAGAGGCTGGCATTTCACAGAATCACAGAACGGTTCAGGTTGGAAGGGACCTCTGGAGATCATCCAGTCCAACCTCCCTGCTCAAGCAGGGTCCTCTAGAGCACATTGCACAGGATCGCATCCAGACAGGTTTTGAATATCTCCAGCGAAGGAGACTCCACTACCTCTCCGGGCAACCAATTTGAAGGTATTCCTCACTGCTCTCTATGGCACAGGTAAAAGCAGTGGCAATTTACCCACGTGGAGCTCCAAGCTAACATGAGATTGTTTTTGAAGCCTAAAGCAGTTTCTTCAGAGCTAGAGATTTAACCTGTGGACAGGATAGAAGGTTTCAGAGGTAAGCAGCTTTCTGATGAGTAATTTCAATGTTTTATTAGAGTCATTTTTCCACTCATTCATCCACATAATTCCAAGGTGATCGTTTACAGCTGACTCGTTCTCTGCCCCATGGCTTCTTTACACCATTGTATATGGACAGTTTTTGTTTCAGCGTTCTCCAGCCTCCTCCAGTCACCTGCCTGTGAACCAGCACTGCCTGGTGTTGAGCGCACTGGTCTCTATGAACTGGCACAGACAAGGCACTTTCCTGTGCTCCATGTGCCCTGCTGCCATGGCCTGAGGGAGCTGACCGCTGACCAGGAGCCGGACGTAGCAGCCACTGAAGATCACCAGCAGCTGCTGGGCCATCACCTGAAACAAGCATGAGAGGAAGGTCAGAGCAGAGCGTCCACCTGGGTGCTCAGTGCCCAAGGGGATCGAATGCTGGCTCTCTGCTGCTGAATGTGGCAGTCTCTCCTACTGCCCATTGCTGAGCATAACCCAGTGGATGTTGTGTTAAATACCATTCGCTCACTCATTCAAACACTGTCCTCAATCATTACCAGCCAAAGCAGATGCACCACCAGCAATGGACAGTGCAAAGTTACCACCTGCATATGTCCTACAGCAAAGGAGGAAGAGCAAAAAAACAAAAAGCATTCAAAAATTCCCAATAAAGCAACAGAAAAAGCCAGAGAAAGTTAGGCATCTTTGGGACTCTTTGCCATTTGTACTAAGGCTTTTCCGTTCCTAAATAATGCAGAAGAGGGTCCATTTATACTTTATGTCCCATCTATACTGCTAACAGAAGCGGCCATTCTTATTAGTGGCAATCAGGCTATCCTTAACCTCAAATATCTCAGAGGTTACTACATGTCTGAAAGGAACAGGAGAGGAGCCAAGGATGGATACATAACTGCTCCACATATGCTGGTGGTCAGCAACTTGTGCATGTTGTCACCTCAGGGGAGTGACGCAAAATGAGTCGGTGTCAACCTCCAGTCCCAGAGCCATACTCTGTGCCAGCAGAGAGATCAGCCACAGGGCCAGGCTCTACAGGGACAGCACAGGCTGTGCTCACTGATGGGTATCATGGGAGCCAGGCCGCCTTAGGGATGTGTGCGCACCGTCGCTAGCTCGTGCTCCTTTTTTTCTGCCTGTAGATACCCAGAGAGCTTTATTCTGCAGAGGTGTCACCTGCATAGAATTCACTTAATAGCAGTGAGCAGAAAATTGTAAAATAAATGAAAATCTTCCCTTTTGAAGCTTCTTGCTGAGCGAGAATGAGGACACATTCATCACTCAAGGCAACAAAAGTCTTTAAGAACACAATTAACAAAGGAGACAAAAGCTTAGCACTGCAATGCCTCATCCTCAGCCCTGAAGCAAGGGGCCAGTTTCCTAGATAAGACCCGCAGACACAGCACAGTGAGAAGGGAGCTCCTCAAATTAACCAGAAGGAAATGACATGTCCATAAGAGATGTCAGCATCTAATTCCAGGCCAGGCAGTACCTGCCTCTACTTGAGATTCAGAGATGTAAATCGTCTCCTAGCCCTGGCTACCTAAAGTATGCCAAAAAGAATCAGATCTTGCCAGTGAGATTAGCAAGGTAAGGCCTAATCTGTGACTCTCTCAAGGCCATCAGCATTAAGCTACTCAGCAATGTCAGGACTTGAGAGGCTGTGTGTGCACCTTCGGGTTGCCAGGTTTTTGTACCAGTGAAAATTGAGTTGTCCCCCATGATCGGCAGCTGCTGGCAGAGTTTTGGAGATTAGATGCCTACGGAGGCAATTAGGCACCTCTGTCCATCAAGGAAGGTGATGTCTCATTACCTCTGGTGGGCCCTCTGGAATAAGGCAGAGCAATTCATTGCATGTCATAGGCTCTTTCAAGTTCACCCCATTGGATAAAAGAGGGGATTCTTCAGATGAGACCTGCTCTACTTTTCCAGGATCAGGCTGAACTGCTGTCTCCATAACAACACAGAGCTGGTCCAGGCTGTGCCGCAGGTCCGACTGGAAAAGAAAAGGAGAATTTGGGGGTCTGCAAATACAGGCACCAGGAAAGCCTGTGAAGTGCAAGATTTATTAACAAAACTAATCCTGCCAGAAGTAAACATATATACATACATATATATATACATATATATATATATATATACACACATGGCATTGGCCAAGAGCCATTCACGGCACTGGGAGCTGAGTGTTTCTTTTCATCGCCTGTCTCTCGTCTGACATGCCGCAGCCTGCATGCGACATATCTCCTTGGGGACGGGGCTGTACGCAAGCACACGAAGCCATGCTGCCAGCGCTTTGTGCTCCTGGCAGAGCATCAGCCCACCAGCCCTTCGCTCCCTGGTCGGCAGTGGCCAGCAGCAGCCCTGTTGTGTTCAAGCAGCTTCTTAAGCCAGTGACTGCTCCCAGCAAGATGATCACAGTCTGGCACTAGGACAGGAATCTTGTCTTTAATATACATATATATGTATACAATCAGTTTTATATCAGTCAGTGTGAATTGGTTTGTTACTGTCCATCCCCTGCTCTGTGTCTGTCGGTTCATCCAGGGAAAGGAACAGTCCTGAGATTTTCATTCTCTCATCATGCAAGTATAATCAGCAAGGGCAATTCAGTGCAGTACAGTGGAGCATATATTTACACACCTAGGTAGAAGAAAACATTTTTTGGAGGCCAAGAGGACAAAAATCATAAACAGCTAGCCGAGTAAGATATTTACTTACTCCTCAAGTGATCTCATTTATTTCAAGCTGACAGCTCAAGGTGTTAGTTATTTCAAATTGACGGACATGCTTTCAAAATTTGCCCTTGATTCTTGATGATTTTCCTTTATTAAAGCTGCATGGTTAATTATCCAGACCTGCACATACCCCAGGGCCTAAATAAATTGATATGGAACTCAGCACTGGTTGCTCCTCCAGCTTCCAGTTTACCGCAGGGAGATGATCAGTAGGAAATTCAAACAAGTGTTGCTCATTATTTTTGTTAAATCTACACTTGGATCAGCGCATGAGCGCGGCTCTCACTGATTTGGGGGACTTTGTCCTGTTTCTGAGTGCAGTAGCTGTGATCAGCACTCATCCCGTTCGACCAGTGCGTTTCTGACTTCTGACTGACGTGGGAGCCAGAAGCGCGGCCAGATGCAGAGCACGGGGCCAATCCTCTAGCCCACCACTCGCTCCCTTCCCAAAACCCCACTGCCACGGCAGGGGGGAGGCCAGGGCTGCCCTCACCACCCGTCCAGCCGCGTCCAGCCCGCAGCCCGCTCCCTGCCCGCCTCGTCCCCTCCGAAGCCAGGGTACAGAAGCGGACATGCACTCGCCGTGGGGGGACGCCTGCATCTCCGCGAGGCGGACGCCCAGGCCTCGTGCAGCGCGTGGCACTCTTCCCAAGCTGTGCCCACAGGGCCAGGAGCTGGGGCTGTGCTGGCCACCACTTACCTCTCGCTTCCTCCGCAGGTCTGCGAGGTGGGCTGATAAGGACTGGAGGCACCGCTCTGGGTTGAAGTGCACAAACCACAGCTGGGGCAGGCAGGGTTAAGGTTTAACACTTGCCACGCTCCCACTTCAGCAGCCCTCGGGCTGCAGGACTCGCGGGGAGCAGAGCAAAGGCTGCTGGCGCTGTGCAGACGGTATGGATGCGCTTGAGACACGTTCAGGAGCCGAATGACACGCCGCAGTGACTAATCTGAGGCAAAACCTCAGGCACTGAGCGAAGAAGAAGAGAAGGGTGGCAGGGAAGGAGGACATTTCCCCACAGCAGGAGTGGAAGCCACACTGCATTGCCAGGCCAGCCCAGTCCTCTTCACACACCTCCTGCACCCTGGGAGGTGAAGCTGGACCATTGCTCAGCATAACAGTTACTCAGCTCAGTGGCCTTACATCTAAAGAAACGGAATGCTAAATCCCCTAAATCCCTTCCTGCTCTCTTTTCGTTGTTTCTAGGGATTGAGTCCATTTATTTTTACAAGACTAGGGTTCTTCAAATAATAATAACAACCTTGCGGATGGAGGCACTGTTAGCTAAGAGCTTACCAGAGTACCATGTTGGGGATGGGAGTCCTACCAGCTTTGGAGACAGGGACATCCCAGAATGGAATCAAATATCTATATCCTTGCATATCTACTCAAGTGGCCATAATCAAGGCTATTCAAAAACAGCATGAAAGCTAGGCAGTTAAAAAGGATCTGACATCAGAGCAAACGGAGAAAGCGTAAATCCTTGGGTCTGCAGTTCAAGCAGTTCTGGGACAGGTAGGCAGAGGTGAAGGCTCATTTTATTAGTCCTCGTTTACCCAGGGGTATAACTAGGCTGGTCTGAACAAATATGTAATTCAAGTTCTTGAGTGTTTTCTCCTCATTCTGCATGACTCCACTTCTGCTGCCAGCTCTCATTGTATTCCCTGCTCCTTTCTTCAACCCTGTGCTTTGGTCTTCAGTTCCCTCTTTGTTTGTATTTTGTACTGCTGTGTCTATTTCGGAGTGTGTGAGGTTCACCAGTCGCTCTGGACACCCTCTCTATCACCTTCCTTTAACACTTTCCTGCTATCTTAAAACATTCTTTCCCCTAAGTCTTTGTCTAGTTTAGAAAAGATACGTCTAAAAAGCAGCAAATGAGATTCCCCTCTATCTAGCTTCTTCAACACACATTTCTTAAAGCCATCAAGGTTTGCTCAGCAGCAAGAGACTTGGGCTGCCAATCACTCGCCTTCATGAAATCAGATTCTTTAATGTGCCTGAAGGAGGGAGCCCAGGGCTATAAATCATTCCTGAAAATGGAGTGTCCTTGGACACTGTTGACTTAGTTTGTCTTTGCAAGGCAAAACACAGGCTCCTAGGGTTTTCTCCATGCTCGTTTTGCCACAGACATGTCGCTGTCACTCAACATGCAATAAGAATTATCACTCATGCAAATATGATACGCTTCCAGAAAGAATCGCTAGCCCAAAGGACTAATCCCACCTCAGTCTTTCAGATTTATTATGGCCAGTGGTCTCTGAGCATATCTCAATCCTCCAGTATAGGAAGGGAAAATATACACAGTCCTTTATGCCATCCAATAGGGAGGAAAAAAAAAAGCTAGAAATCCCACCCTCTGCAAATCCTCATTGTATTGATCATAACAGCAATAAATAGCTCCACATCATTAGCTACCTGGGGGAGAGAGATGAATGATTCCCCACAGAAAGGATACTTGTAGGGCATTGTGTGGCCCATCCAGGACATCTGTAATCCCCAGAATTAAGCTGTGTTTGATAAAGATTTCATTGACAGCTGCGAGCCTCACATCTGTATTCACATTTATCTGTTAAAAAGTGCAGGAAAAATTAACATGCGCCTTGCCAATGGTTAGGCCACCTACAGCTACGAACTGCTGTTGGATAGTCCGATATACTGTCTCTCTGAAAGGAAAGCAGTGAAAAAGAGTTGTCGGAGGTTAGGGTGTGGGATTTTCATCGGCCATCAGTATGGCCTATCCAGGGCCAGCTGATGTCTGTACAGCCAGAAATCTCACTAAAGATTATTTATATTATAGTCAAGACGTCTAACGTGGAATTGACTCCCAGTATTACGATCTCCCTTCCTTCCCCCAGCTGTCCCTAAGTATAGGAGTCTTTCCTGAACTTCTTTCTATCCACAAGTTTGCCAGGTTTTCCTTTGGAAAAATCATTAGAGGCTTGCTCCAAAACCTGTTAAAATCAGTACAAAGACCCCTCCAGATTTTGACAATCAGGCCCTTCCAGTATTATTCTTCAAATCACTACTTAAAAGCTTCTATATGCCTGTGATTCCTACAAAAAATAAGCTGGCAACAATCAGGCTGCTCACGTTGCAGGCTGGCTGTCTCTTTGCTAACATCATCTCCCTGTTTCCTTCTGCTGCACAGTCTGCCTCCGTGAATCCATTATCCTTGGTTTTATACCTTGACTGCAAACTCTGTGGGTTAGGAGCTGCTTTTTGGTCTGGATCTGTTGCAAGGCAGATGTGGTGGGGACATAGCCCACGACTCTACAGCACCACGTTGGCACAAGTAAATGATGACAATAAACAGCAATTCACACCGGCACACAGTCCCAGCTCCAAGGACCATCTCCAAACATAGGACAGGAATTCAGCCTTCCTCCTACTGGTGAACCCCACATGGCTTCCCACCAACTCTGGGGAGTGTGAACCATGCTCTGCAAGCTTGCTTTTTCTCCAGTGCCAGCAGACGCTCTGAGTCAGCCTGCCAGGCTCCAACACTTACGTTTTAGCCATTACGACACCTAACTTGGCTGTATAACATTCCCTATCCGAACTTGATCTCTGAGCCTGCTCTAAAAATATTCCTTTCTCCCCTGATAATTATATTTTTTGCATGCACCTGGAAATTATCTAGGTCCCAGCATTTTTCTGGGAAGGAAGTCTGCTCCCTGAGTGCGCCAAGTCAGCACACAAGTGATCTTCTTACCTTCCTTTGGCGTCGATTGATAATCAATATCACAACTACCGTAACTGCTACAGCAGCTACAGTCACCAGCACGCTGGCCTCCCAATAGCGTCTGAAGGAATACAGCTGTACTGTGGAGTAAATATTTGTCCAGAGAGATATGTAGAAAATCTGTAAAGACCCAGAGAGACTGATGACACTCTCAAAACTAAGGAAGCAGAAAAAAGTCAAGGGAAGAAGAAATCTACTGCTCCTTTCTCACAGGTTAACGCCTTACCATAAATTATTTAAAGCAGCCAAGATTTTCAGAGGGTAAGAAAGGACAGAAGTTCTTTGCAATAATAAATAGGGGAGAGAAAGGTCTAAAAGGACTGAGTGAGCCCTAGTTTATTGTAAAGAATTACCAATCATCAAAGACAGAGAGGGAATTATTAATGATGATTCATACTTAGGAAGGATTTCATTTTCACTTCTTCCATTTAGATAAGAAATGCACTCACTGAGGCATATTGATAATACTTCTGATAGTCACTGCATTTAGAAAGTTCCTGTGTTAAAGCACTCAAGGCAGTGCAGAGACTACTCAATTACAATAACGCTCAGATGATGGACACTGACACTGGGCTCAAGGACTATGTTAGGGACCAGTAGAGTTGGCCTTTGCATAAAGAAAGGCAAAACTGAATTCTTTTGGCCCTTACTTCAGGTGATACTCATTTTAGCAGGAGACTGCCTAGAAGCAAACACGCTATGTGTAGCACAGTGTGTCACAGCTTCATCATCTGGCAATTATATGACTCAATTGCATTAAACAGGCACCAGTATCCCCAAAACACAGAGCACCAGTTCCTGCAGCATTAGTGAAAACAGGAGAACCCATGTAGAGGGGGTGTGCAAAAAAAAAAAAAAAAAAAGGGAACCTTAAAGCAAATACCAATGGTTAGGTTCTCTAGAGGAACTTCTCTCACCATTAATTAAAGAAGCCAAGCAAGACTAGGCACCTTACTCTGCAACCAATGTTGACTGGTGTGTTGGTCTGAAAGAGCATCAGGAACAGAGCATCTTTAGGTTTTTAAAACCAAGGAAAAAGCCGCCTGATGCAGGTACTGCTGCTTCAGCAAATGCTGCTTATCCAGCCATAGGCAGCCTGCACAGGGGAACTACCTGGGAGGGGGTGGAGAAAGTGCCTTGCCCTCAGTCTGCAGAAACTCTGTGGACTGAGATTTCCGAAAGAGCTTCAAGCCCACTAGGCTGTGTGAAAAACAGTGTCTTTTCCCCACCCAAACCCTTCTTCCTCCCCTAGGCACCCTGGAGAACACCAGGTGTAGTTCTTCATGCATCTCAGCAAACATATGTCCATGCAAGCCTCAGAGACACTCCACCATCCTTACCACAGCAATGGCTATTTGGAACGCCCTGGAGTTGTAGAACATGTACCGTCTCACTTTGGGCTTCAGGACAGCATCCTGAATTAACTTTCTCCATGGATCCACTGCCACCTGCTCAGGAAGGAAACATCAGACCAGGGCCACCCTCCAGTTTTAGGCTCCTAGCCCAGTCAGTACAGGCTTGGGCAGTCATAGTGGGGCCAGGCCAGCACTACAAATCAGAGGGTATCCTGGAGCGTCTTTCCACAGAGCGCACCGGCCCAGGCTTCAGTCTCATCTACACAGTTGTCACATAAGAAAAAAGGGTATTTGCCTCATTTGCAGTAATATCTCCCCGGACAGTGCTGGGAGAGTTGCAAGGGAAAATCTCCTCTTTATGACAAACGTCAAGATAGGACAGATAGTTCTATGGATGTTCTTTCACATCAGATTGACTTTCAAGTAATTCACCTGAACCTATGCAGAAGGCTGAATGGGTGTCTTCATGGTGGTTTAAGCCAAGATTATTACAGCTGATCTGCAGTCAATAGGGGGAACAGATCGTAGTTAAAGTGAAGCAAGCCATTCTTAAAAAAAAAACAAAAAAGACAACCGCATGTGCACATCTGCACCTCTCCAAATACGCACATGAGCAGAGAGACCCTGACAGTTACACTGCAGCCATGTGATTCCTTGCTATGGAGCATGCGGGAAATCTGAATCCGGAGGAAACAAGATCATGCCCTCAGAGCTGTGTTTGGCCACTGTTCTGTGGTATGTTTTTCTGAGAATCAACTATGTAAGAGTCAGACTCTGGGGGCAGGATTTTGTGTCCATACAATGATTCTAAAGTCAGGAGGACTACATGGTGAAAGGGAAGCCCGCTCACACAGGCACTCCAGTCACTGATGTCACTCCAGTGATAAGCAGCTGTCTGTTACCTGGGTGCAAACGCAAATCATGCCAATACAGCTAGCATTCACTCCCAGGGAGTGCCGGTGGGAGATTACATGAGGAGCTTACCTGGACCCCAAAAGACTTCAGTTTCTCTGCACAAAGCTCCATGTCAAAAGAGGTGGCCGAGCAGTTATTGTCCACGCTGAGTACCATGAGGACCTGGCCATTGGGGGGTTCTGCAAGAGCCCAAAGGATTCATGAGCGCAGCTCTGGTGTGGATTTTCCTCCCAGCAGCTAAGGAGCAAGTGACAAAGGGAAGGCTGAGGAGCACAGACCATCCTGAGGAGTTTTAAACGGATCCAGAATCCCCCCTTAGATATTGCAAGGGCCTGCTATCTCCGAGGAGAAAAAAGCCTGTGAAAAGGGAGGAAACCCAAATCACATTCAGGGAGTGAGCGGTCAGTGATAAAACGATGCTCTGATAATGTTAACAGGAAAACGTCTTGGCTCACTGATCCCTAACTGAAAGGACAATAGTCCGAAGCTGCTCAGTGTTGCTGTGGACAGCTATAAAAAGCTAGCTGATCCCCTATCACCTACCCAATCTAGCCTCAAAGAAAAAGCTTGGGCAATCAAATCAAGGTGCCTTCCAATTACCAAATCTTCTAGCATCTCCCAGCTGAAACCTGTGGCAGCTCAGTGCCACATGGGTGGCAGGGCTGCCCTCGAGCATGAGCACTGGGTCCTCCAGAGTCCTAGTCCTCACTTCAGCTATGCTCCTGGAAAGCGTGGCTCTGATCAAGGCACATAGCTTCCCATTTCCAACTGGGAAATATAGAAATATAATTTAGAGACCCATTCACGGTCAGGAGCCCAGAAAGTGTGATGATGTGAGGAGCAGGCTTCTTGGAGCAGAGAACTGTGATCTTCAAATATCCCATCTGGCATTCATCTAGAGTTTACATGAGGAGAGCTATGTCAAAGGGAAGAGATCAGGTCTAAGGAAGTGGCCAGTTCCGATGAGATCCTGTTTCACTGAAACATTTCAGCCAGCTCTCCCTCACCTCTGCAGATTCAGGGCCAGCCAGGTGTCATCTGGGCCTGCTCCTATTGACGCTGCCTGCTCAGTGCTCCTCCAAACTGCTGTGCTGGCTGATATACAGTGCACACTTGCCTTCTCTTCTCTCCCACTTATATCCTCCAACCCCATCATCACTTCACTGCCCAGGAATGGGGAGCACTAAACAAAATGAAGCAATTACATTACAAAAGGGTGCTGCTTCATTAAGACAGAAAGAGAAGAGTAGGTGTGTCTGAAACCTCCAGGATAACAACGTCCTGTTTATTTACTAAGCTTCATCTCCTCAAGACACAGAGCAGTGCATGAAAACAAATGCTCTCAGCTCTCCTGTTCTCCATGACTTTGGTCAAGTCATTTAGCACATAGCCTTGCCATCTGGGTGCCAAGCTCAGATATCTGAGATTTGCAGAGGGGCTCAGGCCCATGACTTCTGCTGTAACCTGCTGGATGGCAAGAGCTGCTTCAACCCTCCAGAAACCAAGCGCTAAGGAGGTGCCATGAACGGAGCAAGGAAAGAGGGGTGCCCTTCTGAATGGTGCATGGAGGTTTCAGTGCAAAAAGTCATCTATGGTTCTATATACTGTCTCTCAGTATGTCTCTCAGCTCCTCATGCAGTTCTTGAAGTAGTGCTGCATAGGGGGAGCAAATTGTTGCAGGGGAAGGGGTCACTTTGAAAGTATAGGTCAAGTTTCCCAAAGGTTTCTTGGCTTTTAAAAGCCAACACGAGAGGCTTTCCAGGGTCCTCATTTTCAACAGGCAGACGTCCACCCATTCCTAAATATCCGGCTTTTCAAAACAGTCCAAGTGCACCTACCCTCTCCCCTGAAAACTGAGATATCCATAATGTCTAGTTACTTTTGCAAATGAGGTGCTGAGTGGTTAACGAGCATCTTTGAAAAATCTTCTGTTCTTTTAGGGGCGCTAGACTCAGTACTGCTTTTCTCTTTGTCATCAAAGAGTTGTTTGCTTACCTTTCGTCCACTGAAGGGATCCTTCATTTAAATCACTCTTACAATAGAAGATGGAGGAAAGTGAACTGTTTTTCTCAATTCCACCAGCTTGGCTTTTATAGGCCATGCGGAAGGGTACCTCTCCTTAAGGGATTCTGCTTTGTGTTGTCAGAAATTCAGCACTTAATATATCTCCCTTTTCTTTCACTGCCAAGAAACACCTATTCAAAACCAAGGTAGCAGGCAGATGGCTTGCTCTTCTTCTTGGGGATAAGGTTGAGAAATCTTCATTCACAATCCCACTGATTGCTTCCTCGAGATTCTACTTTCCACGAGCACAGGACTCATTTTCTAGACCTGAAAAGAGGAAGATAAATTCCAGCATCTCGCAGAGTCAGTAAATAAAGCACAACAGCACAGGTCACTTGGTGTATTCTACTCTTCGGACCCTCCTCCCTGCGGACATTATTGTCAGTTAAGTGTTATTCAGCCACAAGCACAGTATGCACAAGGTCTCTTTTTGCTGCAAATACTTCTTTTTTTTTCTCTCTCTAAATAGATGGAAAAGTTCATCCTTAAATATTCATATTTTGTGGGCAAGCAGTCGAGGAACAGGCATGATTTTTCCCTGTGAAGACAACAGGCATTCTGCCATTCTTTCACTGGGAGAAAAAAAAGCGAGGCCAGTGTAAATACTCCTCCCTTGAAATGATATGCCTAGATCACTGAAAACAGTAGCTAATTCCCTGTTACACAAAGGAAATGGAAACGGTACAGATCAGGAAGGAAGAAAAATGCATCCACTTAAGGCAGAAACAGGCAAAGTAGGAACTTTCAGCCAGAAGCAGAGAAATCTTTGAGGACTCTTTCTTTCTTTTCCTACTCACCTCTGCCTCCCACTTCTCAGTTGCAGACAATGCCGGAAGCAGATGTGGCACAGCCCTAGGGGAGAGGCAGGGTCCATGCATTTTCCAGGTAAGTGGTGCTGACGTAGGTCTGTAACACAGATCAGCTGGCAACGCCTGTGGGTGTTTATTCGAACCAAATGCTTTACAGCTCTGAAGTTTACTTTTTAATTATTTTTTAATCCTGCAGCTCAGCTGCATCCCCATTGGTTCTCCAAAACTATCATTTACTTTTTAACCGCAGCTCTGTCTCGCTTTTGTACCAGGAGCCTGCTGCCAGGAGCTGCTTTTGGGCTAAGATTGCCTTGTGGAGCTCATCAGCTCTGCTTCCCAGGAGGATTGCTTTATTTTTGCCTAATGCGCGTTGCTGCAATTACCCCCTTGCATAAAGGCATGGCAGTCATCGGTTGAAGGACTGTCAGACAGGAAACTGGGGCAAGTGAAACCATATGAAAGTTTCTTATGATTGCAAAAAGAACCTGCAAGGGACTGGAAATGCACAGTTAAAGGAGGCAGGCTACCGTGAACTGTACACGGGGGGCGGGTATCGCGCCCGTGTCTGCGTGCGGAGTCGGCACAGCACCTGCTTGCAGTTCAGACCGCTTCCTTAGGAGGACGTATTTACGGTCTTATTCTAGGCTGGAAATAATCTGATACAGACTGAGTTCCTGTGCAATAACCCGCTGTGAGGGCACACGCTCACGCGCACCCAGACGCGGCACGTCAAGCCGGCCGCCTGAGTCTTCCAGCAGCTCAGGCAAGGCACGCTTTTCCTCTAACACACGTACCGCTCTCCAGCTCGTTCTCCTTGGAGACCACGGGAACAGGCGTGTAACAAGACAAGTCTCCCAGCATCAAAAGGTAAACAAACAGTGAGTTTTCTCTCTCCTTTTCCCTTTGTCTTCAATCCCTGCAGTTTAGTGTCAGACCGGGCGGAGGGGAGCACCACACACATGCACACCCCCCCCCACCCAAAAGAACAACAAAGCCAAAAGTAAAAACCAGAGGAACCAAAAGGAAAACCTCATCCAAACCTATCACCCCGTCATTGCTGCTGTCACCTGAAGGGAGCGATGATCAAGGCTCTCTGGCTTAGGCATCTTGCAAATTTTCAGCCCCCCCCCCCCACACGAGGAAGGTGCAGCAGGACCAGGACAGCTCAGACTCTTCACAGCCCATCCGTGGGCTGCTGGAGGGAACGGCCTTCTCCAGCCAGGAGGAACTCGTAGGCCAACGCTGCTTTGCTTTAACTTGTGTGTGCAGCATAGATCTCAGCTGGCTCCCTGGCCTTTTACTGCAGAATGGCTGCCTGTTTTTGGAGATCGATCTCCCCGCAGTCTTCCTCTGCTGTCTCTTGTGCTAACATGAGAGGTATCCTCCTTATCTCCCGTACTCCCTGGGGCTCTGTGACTTTCTACACCCCTTCTCATTCTTTATGCAACACCAAAGTCTCTCTGGTGGCTATTCTCTTTGCCCCCCTCAGGTTGTGGAGCTTCTCTTTAAGACACATCCAAGCCTTAGCTAAACACCAGAATAACATTCAGCAAGTCCTTCATTTCTAGAGAGGCTGCCAGAGACTTACCTAGTCCAGATTGTCTCCTGGTCCTGGGGAGTCTGATCAGCTCCCTCCTCCTCCTCCTCCCTCACTTTCCTGTATCTGCTAACATCTGATGCTGCTCTCCTGCTCTCCCACTGCAGAAGAGGGAGGTCTCTTCTTCCAGCAGCTCCAACCTGTGCGAAGCAGCTTGTGTCAGAATATGCCGCTCTCATTCCCTATGTCTCCCAGGGCCAAATGACTAATCAGGCACAGCTCACTGAAGGCAAGAAGTCAGCGCCCCCACACTACCTCTTGCTTTCATTACCCCAAGCTGCAAGCACCAACTTGCAAAATCTCCCTTATGCATGTGACTTTTCCCATAGGCTCATTTCAGAACCGTGGCTTTAACCCTCAAAATGCTTTTGAACTTTTGAGTTCCTCAAAAGTGCTTCCCCATCTGGCACAGTAATAGCGAGGCGATCCAGCTGCAGGATTTAGACTCACCTATTAGAGTGTGGGGGTCCAGAGCTGGAGCCAGACTCTGAAGGCCTTGAAGAGGTAGAACAGTGGCAGCAGAGCTGAACAGCGGCAGTCAGCAGGCTGTCCTCCTCCTCAAACAGCAGAGCAGGATGCATTACGTGCAAATCCCAAGGTTGCATCAGATCAATTGCTGTGCATATATTAGTCAAAGCCGAGCATCAGTGATGGCGCTGCAGAAATCAGAAGACATAAAGAAAGGTCTCAGGGCTGAGAATGAGTCACCTTACATTTAGGAAACGGTCATAGAAAAGCACAGACAAACAGAGGTAAGACAAAGTGGGAACCTTAGCCCTCCTCAGAAAAAGGTGGCTGTGCTGATATGAAGGGTAGGTGCGAATTTCTTCCCTAACTGCTGTATCTCAAAGAGGTAGAATCGGGCGCGCAGTCAGGTGGGCACCCCCAGAACTGTTCCTCTGTTGCAGCTCCCTGTGCTGGGGGAAGTGATTTAGATGTCTCTCATGTGAAGGGATAACACTGAGAGATAGCACAGGGGAATTTCTGTAGTCCTGTTTGCTCCGGACATTGCTGAGTCACGTTAACTAAATCACATGGCTGCATGGGGGACAGAATTGGCTTCAAAACTGCTTACCCACATGGGATCTCGTTACACTGGAAACTGGCAACTCACACAGTAATATCATCCAAGCATTGAGAAAAATCAGATAACCTTCTGGCTGTTGTCACTAGCTCAAGGCCCAGCCCACCTGCCCACCCAAAAAGGAGCATACAAAGCCTTAGGATCTTTTGCAAATGCTCCTCATCAAAAGGTTTGGCTTCATTTCCTCTTCTTTTTGCCAACTCAAGGATCCTGACAGAGGAAGAACAAAGTGACCAAAGCACTTAGAAAGAGCACTGTCGGCTCACTGCAAAAAACAGCCCAAGGCAAAACTCCGGGGGAGGGGGTAATAATCTTGAAAGGGATTCTCCTGCCTGCCTGCAATGCCTGCAACATAGACCTCTTGCTTGGCAAAAAGCGCTCTTGGCATCAACACCTCCTCCCATCAACACAAACAGAAAAATCCTGCTATGCTGGGAAGAGTAGTTGAGTTGCGTAGTTGCAAAAAAAAAAAAAAGGTAGTTCCAAGTTTAAAAGGTTCCAAAGCATGAAAAAGACTGAACACCATCAAATCTTTAGCATCCTAACAGAGGCCATTTGAGAAACAGTAACAGATTGCAGAAAGCATGCGCACACTGGCAGGAGAAAACACGTTCAACAGCTTAACAGTTCAAGGTTAAGAAAATAGGATCCAGCTGGCCTCATTCGGATCCCTGTGCTGATGCCAAGCAGATCCACCTGGCAAGAGACTCCTTCCAAAACACATACCTTCAACAGCTTTCAGTTGGCGGTGCAGCACATTTCAGTTAGGCCTCTTACTGAGGTGGTGGGAATGCAATTTAGGTAGACAGGCTTTTCCTCCGAAAATTTCCAAGGCACCTCTTTCATGCCTAGCTAAGAAACTTAGGATAAAGCTCCACAGCACTTAAGCCAATCTAAATCAAAGGTAAGGTTTTCCAGCTGTTTTTCTGAGTTAGTTTTCCACCAGACCAACTCCCTGAACTTCCTCACCTCAGGATCATAAAAGTGCTGATGCTGGCCTAAAGGAGATGGTGAATCTGCAGGTAGAGTTGTGTGGAGTCAAGGTCTCACAGCCCCAACTCTTCCTGACTTCAGCTTTCAGCAGATCACATGCTTAGAAATCTTTGGCAGGTATTGATTTTCTGGGCATCTTATCTGTGGCATAACTTTGATGCTTCTGATAGGCAGGAGAGCTCCTACCAGGTATCCTCTCAATCCAAACAGCTACCCTGTAACCACAAGTCATACAAAATTCCATTTTGCAGCTAGTTTATAAAACATTCATCAGTGATTAACATATTTGGATAAAAAACCTATTTTTTTTTATTCCAGATGGGCAAAAAACTGCATATTATACCCCAGACTTTGCATCTATGCCTTTATATCAGGGTTTCTGGAGTGCTAAGACGTGTCTGTAACATTTCTATCTCACCTATTAATAGCCCCACAGTAACTTTAACAATAAGCAGCCAGAAAATAAAAATTTAACCCTACTAAAGCCAACAGGGACAACCGCAATGAACAGAAAATACAATGTAAATCAGTAAACTAGAAAGGAATTTGGAGAGACAACCAAGCAAAGGCTCAAAAGAAATAAGGAACTCATTCACTGTAAAACAGAAAGAGGAAGCCAGCAGGAGGATCCCAGCACAGACCTCCATCCCTGAACTATAACAGCCCTCTGCAACTGGGGTTTTTCGCTCCCTACCAGAGCAGACTAGTTCATTTCCCTTCTCGCTCATCACTCACAAAGACCTGCAGGACATAACCTTTCAAAAATTTACTGGAGTGTCTTCTGTTTCGGAGAGCCCTACTGAAACCCCCCGAAACCGGACTCATTTAAAAAGGAAAACAAAACTGAAGAGCCCATGCCCTGCAAACGAAGCTCCTCTGAAGTGCCTCTTGATTGGGCACTCAAAAATTGAAATCAAAATAAATAAAAATGCAGAGCTTTCTGCTCCAGGAAGCATCTGGCTGCCTGTTATGTTCAGCTTGTGCAGCCTGGCAAGGGATTTGGGGTTTGTTTCACAAGAATTAGAACAAAAGCAGCTTGAGGTTTCTGCCTTGGGTTTCATTCAGTGGTATCTACAAAGAAGCAAGTCCAGACTTGCATGACTCCATGGCAGAGCTATTTACAAAGTCTCCCTCTCTCACTCACCTTGCTCTTTGCCTCTTTTCTGCTTCTAGGTCTTAATTTTCTGATAATTAGGCTCCCACTGCAGCCTTGTTAACAGATGGACACTTTTACCCCACTACCTACTCTCAAAAAACACACAGGAGACTTTACCCTCCTTTCGCATGTGGCTGAAACCGGTTGTCAAGGCCAAAAGTTATTAAGGGGGCAAAAAGACCCAGAGGCACAAAGAACAACTAGACAAGGCCGTTGCCTTGGGGAAAAGGAAGAGCAACACTTCAGTGGTGGTGATGCTGGAACCTCCCCAGCCATCCAATTTGCAGCCTTCTCACCCTTCCTGTTAAAAAGCATGGCTAACCTAAATCTTTTTCATTTCAAATTAAGCTGATTATTTCTTCTAGCCTCAGGGGATCTGCTGAACAATTAAGGCCTGTCCTCTTTAAGACAACCTCTCATTTATTTCAAGACTTCTCTTTTCCTTTCTGTCATAGAGTCTCTAGACTAAAGCCCCAGCCTTTCAATCATTGCTCTAAAGCACGTTTGCCAGACTTCCCAGGGCCCTTCGTTGCTCCGTTCTGGATTCCCTCCAATTCACTTACATCTCTTCCAAAGCTCAATGTCCAAAACGGGAAGTTGTATCCAAGCAGAGACCTCACCAACATTTAAGAGCATAGTAACTCGCGCTCTTTCTCACTTCCATTTTACATATGGCACTTCTCTTAACATGTTGTAGAATGAGGAGCGTTTTTCAACAGCAAAGCGTTTGTTGGTTCAAATTCTGGGGAGTTAACCGTAATTTCCACAATTTCTGCAGTGCTGTATAGCTGGTTCCCGATTACTTTCTTTTGGTGTATCTGATTTCACCTTTCATAGTTCAGCTTTGCACTTCTCCTTACTGAGTTCCGTATTGTTGATTTCATATAATTTCCCTCATGTATCAAAATAATTTTGAATTCTAATCCAGTCCTCTAAAGTGTTTGTATCTCTTCCCAGTTTGGTGCCCTGGGCACATACTATAACTGTACTCCTTATTCCAACATGCTGCATTAATGAATGTATTGCAGAGAAGCCGATTCGAGGAAAACAACCTGCCATTTGAAATGCTTCCCTAGACTAACAGTGACCACTGATACCTCCTCTTTGACAGTGACTCTCCAAAAAGGGGACCCCATACCCTTTGAGGTCATGAAGACCCCGTCTGCCTCAGAGAACAGAGTCAAAATCTTTATGAAAGTCAATATGAAAACCAAGGTACAGCTAACTACCTTCCCTCTTCACTGTTAAGCAAGTTACCCTGTAAAAGAGGTTAGTCAGATTGTCTGGACATCGTTTTTCCTTGAAAAGTCTCTGCTGAGTAGTTCTCACCATCCTCCAGCCCCAAAGTGCTTGTTCGTTGTCCTGGCATTTCTCTCGCTCTCTCTTTCAGGGAGCAGGCTTACGCTGACTGGTCTGTAATTTTCCAAACAATCGAGAAGGGAAAGAAGAGAAAGAAAGGGGAACTTCTTGCACTTCTCCAGTCCTCTGGGATATCCTCATCCTCTATTATGTTCTTAATACCACTTCTGAGATGCCTCTACTTGCTTCAAGTCCCACTGCCTTATGTAGATGTATACTCTTCAGTCTGCTTTTTCCTAACTCTGACCTCCAAGACCATGTTTTCCTTTGCATTTATTACATTATTTGATAAATGTAACCTTTTTGTGGTATTTGAAACAAGCTCATGCTGATAACACATTACTGTTGTTGCTGGTTTATTTGTGATGGAGCGCATGCATGCCACTGCAGCTTTTGCCTACATCGGTTTTGTTTGCAGTTCTGTAAGCTACAATGGTGAACAGGAGCTAACCAGGCAGATCTCATTTTTCTTTTGATGAAACTGCATTTTTCAGTGGATAGCTGTTCCATCTTTTTTTTCCCCCCAGTGAGCCTTAATTAGGAGAACATAAATTTGTTGAATGCCTTGTTTTGCCCGTCCACTCTTCCTGCACAACCTCTTCTCTGACGGACTCTCCCTTATTATCTTGTCAAACAGCTCAGCAAAGCTGACAGATTGACAGTCGTTACATATAAAAACTTCATTTCACAAACTCTTTAATTTACATATTTCAAGTGAAAAATGACACTTGCTTAAGGGGTAAAGCATGGTTCTTCGTTTCCTACTTCTGCCTTTTTCCTATGAAGGCTTATAGTATTATGCCTCTTTTTATTATGGTAATGCAAAAACTCCTTCTTGCATCTCAAATTAAAAAAGGGAAGCTTGCTCTGTGCCCTGGATAATGATCTGCTATTGATCCAGCAGATTCTTTATTAGATTATTCTGAGACAGCTGAATGTAATTTAATACCTATTTATTTTCTATTCTTATGCCAGTCTGAGATGCAATCTTTTCTGCACGAAATTAGTACTTTCTCCTTTCAACCTCAAAGAAAGATTAGACTAGCCTCCTTTCTTAGATTATTTCAGGGAACTGTCTTTTTAAACCGAACATTGATCTTGGAGTTTCTTGATAGTCTTTTCTTCTACTACTTTGAAGTCTCAAATGATCAGGTGTGATAGTAGTAGGTTCTAGGCTTTTCTTTCTTATTATGCATTAATGCAAGAACTGCTGATGTCATAAATCAGAAATATTGATGTTGGAACTGCTCTAGCATAGACAATGAAAATTGCACTCAGCATCCCCACAGCTGCTGGTGGTCAGTCTCTCCTCAGGACCACCTCCTGCAAAGACTCAAGTGCAAAATTTCTCCGTACCACACAAAAGGCTCTTTAACCAGAGCACGCCTTGCTTAAACAGACAGCAGTCAGAAGGAGAAGCTGACCTTCAGGCCTAACAATGGAAGCTGAGCAGGGAGTAAACTCTGTCAGCACAGACATGCCTTAAAGAAATTGAGCTCTGGCTTCAAGTGGCACAAATGCATGCCCTAATTGTACCTCTTACTGCACGGTAAACCCATCCAGATGACTCCATCTAGTGTTCCCTCCTAGAGACTTCCCTTGCCCTAGAGAGGGCAAGTCTTCCTGATGGTGTTTTAAAAACAGAAGATATCAACTCTATATAAATATATACATCATATTTGGAAAGGAGTCTCCTCCCCCACCCCTCCCCCCAAAAAATTGGTCTGAAACACCATTGATGTGTGTGGTGGATGCGACAGATATCAAACTGCACTGTGTAAATACTATGATATGCCCATGTTGCTCCTGTGAGAGTTCTTGCTTACAAGCAATTTAACTGGGAGAAATCAACAGCAGCAACTACCGACATAACTTTGCATAAACAAATCAAGACATACACCCTGCCCACTTTTTAAACTACATACGGCACAAGGAGTCTGTGGTTGCGTTGCCAGTCAATACATCCATGGGCTAGAGCTCAAGTAAAATAATTAGATACTCATACGTCTGCAAAGCAACTTCTGGCCATTTTGGGGGTACAAGTTTTGTGTTGCATACGCGGAGGCACATCTGGCAGGGGCAGTGCAGCACAAAGACTTTGGAGACAGATTTATATTAGCAGATGGGATGGGTTATACTTTGATTAATCAAAGTTGACTTCTGGATAAATCAGATCTCAAAGGCAAGAGACTACATCTAACTCCATGCCTCTGTCAGTGGAAAATCGTTCCCTGCAGAGTATTTTTCTGGTGCAGTCTGGCTTAGGTACACAGAGAGTAATAGGCCTCCTTTCCCCAGAGCACCTCAGCACAAGATTAAAAGAACCTTCATTTCAAATGGTAGCATTTCAATGCTACCAAAGCCAACCTTGCTGGAGAGCCTTGCTTCTACGTAAAGCTGCACAGTCAGGTAATTCTCAGCAGCTACATTTTTCAGGGAAACATTACAGTGATTAAAAAAAAAAAAGAAAATTGATATTCTTGCAATACATTAAAACTTCCTGCCTGTTCTAAAGGGAAAATCTTCATACTACTTTTTAACCAGAGAGGAAATCATCACTAGAAGGGGTTTTTGTTTGTGTTTTTTAATTTTTCCTATTCTAGAGAGTAAGGATACAAGAGTCCTTGTTAACAAAGGGAAATTTATGAACCAGTATGATAAAGTAGAGAGAGCACTACCTTTTTTCTGAAAACGCAGAGTAGTAGTTCCTCTTTACAGATAAGCAAACTGGATGAAATTACTAATTACAGCCTGGAGCTAGGAGGACTTGTTATCAACCTGAGCACCTGTTCTCAACAGGGAAGTGTTTCATCTCCAGAGGACAGACAAGAACTAGCATGGTTGCAACCTTTTATGAGGCCATCTAGCACCTTCCAGTCATTAGGCCAGACTGATTAAACTGCTTTGATCCTATTCTCCTTGTACAGACCTGGCTCTTTCCCAGCGTGACACATTTTACTTTGCAGGGTGCTTTTGTTTCAATTTTACAGCCTGGTTAATGGTTTTAATTCTTAAAAGAGATCCTTTCAGAACTACAGCACACTAATAAAAAAATATTACTACAGGAAACACCATAACAGTCTAGTCTTTCATTGCCCTATGTGACTGCGGACAGATAATTTTTCCTTTGTTATGCCTTTCACCCATCCCGTTTTCCTCCCTCCCAGCTACAATCGAACCCTCCAGGTCTGAGGGATTTTTCAATGCTGCACTGAGGGTCAGCAGAAAAAAAGGGTATCCTGTTTACAGAACAGCATCAATAAAGGTTCTTGATTAGATTCTCAGCTGCATGAATCTTGGATCTGATCAGCTACATGCTCATCAAGAAGGTCTGTCTTCTGTGAAGAGCCTTAAGCTGAACTCAACAAAAAAAGCAACGCTACATTTAATTGTCTAAGGGTGGGAGGGGGAGAGGAAGAACCTGCTCAAACATGAAACCTCTTGATGTTCTTGTGTGTATTTTTGATTAAGGAGCTAGCGAGTGAGGCAAATACAGCCACAACATGCTATACCCACGAATAGTATGAAGTAAGATGCTGCAAAAGACAGCATGACCTTGGCATTAACAGAGCAGTGACCAATTCCTGACGAAAGGAAGGATAATTACTGCAGAGTGCCTAACTATCAAGCTATTCTAGTGAACTGGCAACATTATTTCCCCTAATGGTCACAGGAGCATTTGTTCCTGAAGGTTTTCAGAATGATCTGGCAGGTAAAGCATCAGGCTGGAGCCAAGAGGTGTAACGGGTTTTAAACTTACCTGCTGTGACCTTCAGACATTTGCTTTATCTTTTACTCTTTCTTTTATCAATACTTCATATTCACTCTTCAGAGTCCACACTCTCACCTAACACGGTGAGTCCTTTCAGCACTCTCGGGAACAAGGCAGCAGGTACAATAAGACTGACTGAAGAGACTTTAGAGTTAAATAAGTGTTTTACTTTCAAGTGTCATAGCGCCAGACTTGTAACTCAAGCTAACAGTAAAATATACAGAGGATATTCAATACAGAGAAACTTAAGCACCTGAAGATTACCAGCCAGTACCACACAGCTGAAGAATTCTTCTTACTAGGCTTAATCCTATATGAAGGTTAACCACACATCAAAAGATACATTTTGGTCTACAGGAATACAGTAACACAGATCTAACAAATACTGACGCAGGCTCTCCATTCAAACCTGGCAAACCTCTGTCTCCCTTTTCCACTTCTCAGAGGAAAGCTGCTTACTGAATACTACCTAGGGGAAAAAAAGGGAGCGCCAACTTGAATATTTATTTCACAAGTTAGCACAGATCTGAGACATGGCCATTTAATGTTTGAATAAGCTCTGAATCTATGTCAAGAGGCAAACAGAACTCCAACAAGATATTGATAACCTGCAACTCATTGAAATAATTTAACACCTTTACAAGAAGAACAGCTAAGGTATGGCTATGGGCTGTACATTCCACCTGAAGCTCAGATGTTACCGCCAGCGTTTCTAGTATGCTTATCCATTCTTCCACTACTACCCATTGATGCGGTAATTCACATGGATTTCAGGTTTGATGTCACACACTAGTGACAGCAGCTGGGAGAGGACTGCCTCACGATTCTTCTGGAAGTTCTGCTGGATTACACTCATCTTCTCCTGGGTCTCCTTCTCAACTTCAGTGGTGCAGCTGCCATGAGATCCAAGGGCCTACAAGCAACAAAAGAAAAAAGTTCACAGGCAAGTAGTTTGACAAAAAAAATACTATGACTGGCTCCATATTCTGTCATTCTGTACAGCCTCAGCGCATCTCAACCACTACTCTTTGCTGCGGTAAGAGCTGCACATAGAGAAGGGGGGGGAAAAAAGTTACTGTTGTGTACTCTTCTCAGATTTGCCACTAATCATGCCCAATTTCATGTACCAGCTGCAGCTCATGCCTTTCTATCCTCTCTCACTCATCAGCTATCAGTTTAGAACATGAGCTTCTGGAAGGAGAGCAAGAATGCCTGAAATCAAGGTTCTAGTGTTGTTGGAACTACAACTAGGAACCTGCGGGATTTACTGCAGTAAATAACTTAAGAAAAAATAACGCTCATGATTCAGTTTAAGCACAGTCTTCACATTATCCCATCACTTCTGCTCTTCGAGATTCCTTATGAAAATTCCTTTAACAAAAATCTCTGGCTTCTTCACATGACTGTGGGACATGTGATGAGCACAGCAAGGGCAGAGAGAGAAAGTTCCCATTATCTGCGGGGAAAAACAGAGGCACAGAAAGTACGCTGAGAGACAGACTAGCACCTTGGGTGTTAAATTCAAAGTTTCTCTCTCCAGAGAAGGGTAAATAAATTAGAACCAACTGACAGACTAGTAGACTCCACTTTATTAGCCTAGACTGCCCAATACCATGCTGCCTAGTGAATCAAGCTAACAAGTGCTTGTAAAAATTTAATCTTGACCTACTGGCATGAAATCTATTATGCAGGAGAACAGAGGAGCTGGTACTACACAGACTGGAAGACTGACAGAGGGGAGAGGTGCCAGGTCACTTTCCGAAGATTTCACAGGAACTGACAGGGGCACACTGCATGCGTAAACACTCTGCCTGTGCTACAGTTCTCAGATGGTAAAGGGCTTCAGTTTTGCACCTTTTGGGAATACCTCCTCTTGCTCAGAAGAAAAGGAAAATACACCCCCTGAGACACAGCAAGCAAGACTGCTGATCAGAACAAGCCTTAAAACTACTTCGGCAAGAGGGCATCATCTGCAAGGCAAATGGTTTCCACTGAGTTAGCATTGTAGAAATTAGCTTGTGACAGGAAGAACGAGCTCAGTCTTATTTGACACTGCTACATACAGCAGGCTTTGTCAGGCTGAGACCCCCACCAGGGCACCAGTCAATACATGAGCCTATTAACTTAATTCTTTGCCAGTTAATACTTCTGGCTTTTGAGATGCAACACACAATGTCCTGATTTATCTCCACTGATCTCTCCATGACATGCGGCTGTACATTTGAGGAAGGCAGTTAAGGGAAGTACACCTCCTGCAAAGCGTTCCACCCTGCAGGAAGCTCTCAGGGCAAGTAACACCAACTGCAAGGCTAAGGGCCTGGGTAGGTAACAGTGAATTATCTAGAAAACAAACCGCTGCTTCCTTGGCTTTGAACTCCTTCTCCCTCTGCAGGCGGTACTGTTCAATCTCTGCCTGGGCTTCTTCTTTTGCCTGCTTCAGCCTCCGATTCTTTCCTGTTTCAGAAGAATATGCCATGTTAAATAAAGAAGAGAGGGTATCGAGAGCATGTTTCCCCCACTGCTCCAGCTATCTGATGCAGAACAATCACTGTAGCATTTGCTACTTCAGCCCCTCATCCTGTAGGAGGCCATCAGCAAAGCACAGCACACCTTCCCAGCCCTTCCGTCTTTTCATTGCTAACCAGCGTCAGGAGCACTGGACTGCCTGCGTGCCACTGAACCGTGACCAACCTCACTAGGCAATGAACTTCCATCTGCAAGAACTGCACAGGTTCTCTAATTCAGTGGCTGCAGCACTTAAACAACCTATAGGTCTGGCTTCACTCAGGCAAGCATACAACCCCTGAGAGTAATCCCAAACAGCACAACAGAAAGAACATGCAACCTTAGTTTTGTCTCCAGACAGTTTTGCCATCAAAGAAGGACTGGCTAGCGTACGAACTTTCCCCTCCTTGACTCCTCCACATCCTCCCCTTCAAGGTTATCATCCTTACAGTGAACTGCAACAACCTACTTCTCACAAAGCTGTAAGAGGTTAGAACTGCAAGATAGCAGAGCTTCATTAAATAACAGCATCTGCAGTTAAAAAAACAAACAAACAAACTGATTTGTTCAGGCAAGGATCTTTTGAGAGAAATTCTGGCTCCACTTTGAGTTGACTTTGAGCCTCAAGAAGCAGCGCCCTCTGCTCCATAAAATATCTGATCATCTACATGGAAATATGCTGCTTTCATCAACAGGAAAAAATTTAAAGGTAGGAAAATGTGCAGATAAGCACAAGCATACCCCCAAGAGAAAACGCTGATGCCATGAAGGTTAGCATCTTGAGGTTGGACTCCTATCAGGGAGCAGACCCGCTTTTGGGGCAATTTTTCAGCGGGAGGGAAGTCATCCAACTCACTTGACACTTGTGCAGGCTTCTCCAGCTATTGATACAAAAGTGCCTCCCTGCTGCCAGGGAGCGTTCAACTTGGCTTTCCACACCTTCACGCAGAAGACACGTTTCTGGCCGACCAAATCACGACTAAACTCCCACGGAGCGGAGAGCCACCACTGAACTCCCCCCTGCTGAGAGCATCCCCTTTGGCCTCGCTCTAGCTAGCGAGGCACACAGGGTTTCGTCTACACAGTTAACGCTTCCTGAACAAGGCGCTCGCTGCGGGCTCTCTCCCTTTCCCAGGGACTCCCTGGGAAGCAAGCCCTGCTGAAATAACGAGCCCAACGTTAGCAACCCCCACGGAAAGGCAGAGGGAGCCCCTCCTAACAGCTCGGCGCTTGGGCCGCGCCTCTCTGCGGCTCC